ACACTGATCATGAAAAATGGATGGTACTATCAAAGAGAGTGCAAAGAAGGGGGGGGGGGCATCTAAACAACACCTTAAGTTAATGCATCATTGCAGAATAAAGCGCTTAGTTTGGACATTTGGAAACATAGGCTAATATTTATTATTTATTTGATTGGCAAAGCTGAAACAGGTGTGCTGCTTAATATTTTTTTATAAAAACCATGATGTGTATGTCTATATTTTATGTCTTTTTATTTATTTATTTCTTTGGTACAAAAAGGTGGGATGACATACAGTCAGCTGGGTAGTTGTCTAGAGTTATTGACCGGCTGACTGTGCATATATGATCTTATTTAGTATATATATTATATAAATAACCTAAGAACTGGTAAGTGCTGTGTACTGGAAGTACATGTTATATTACTGTGGTATAATTCGTACTAATGTCGTTTCATACTACGCAGACAAGGATTCTGGTAAAGACTAACTGGGCTCTGGCTCAAAAAAGCATCTAGCACTCAATTATTGGCATTTGGTCAATACCTAATTTGATCAGCTGTGGCTGGTCTCGGGAATGTTGTACTTTCTTTTTTCTTTGTTTGTCTGTGAGGAGACTTAGTTGACACTAAGCTGACCCAACTTCCACAAAGCCAGAGATGTGAAATGGCTTGTGGTTGATTGTGCGCCCTCGTCTTATCATTAACAGCGCCTGAGCTCTTGAAATGGGGTAGGTACTGTGGTGAAGAGCCTCTGACCAGAACTCATTGATTTTCTACATACGGCACTTGCAAAAGAGGTTTTGCCTTCTATCTGATTCTCTGCAGGAGCACTAGCCTCGAAGTGCTTTCATATTTCTCTACTGCTGTATAATTCATCAGCTTGACATTTCTCGCCATCCAGAGCTGAGTTGTTGATGTTAATGGCTGTTTAGTCAGAGGAGTGACCACAGCTTTGAGCACTTCGTGTGATGTATTGTTCACTTGCAAAGTTTGAAAAGTAACTTTTCTCCTTGCAATTGCAAAAACCATCCGGAGTAAACAAAAAGTAAAGTGTAAAACCAGCAAATAATTATTGCATTCTGGTGATAGGCTCTTTTCCCAAATATTGTTTTGTTGTTTATTGTCCACCATCAACGCCTGTCCTCATTCGGTCATGTCCATTTCATTTTCATCAGAGTTGCTTTAATTAGCATCATCAGCGCATCAAACCTATCTGCATTTCTGATGAATATGCATGAATATGCCATCAGTACCTTACGGCCCAGTAACGCCATTTCGTCACTTTAAATCATCATTCAGTTTTGACCTGGATAAATGTCCAAGATCCATCAAGAGTTATGCGAACTTGCTTTCACAAAGTGAAAAAAAAATCATCTCATGAATATGTTAAAAATATGAAGGAGATGATGTATACAAACCAGGACACTTGAAGTGTGTCTGAGTCCCATCCAAGGTCTCCCAAATTAAACCTCATGTCTGTGGGAGGATGGAAATGAACATAGAAGGCTGTTTCAGTCCAAGGAAGATGTAGACAGAGAGACAATTATGAAAATGTTTTTTCTTGTCTGGAACTGGAACTAAATGAATTAGTTGCCAAACATGCAGCTCTTTTTAGAAATGTACCAAACACATCAGAAAAAGCAGACTTTAAGTTTAATTTGTTTTGGATTAGCATATAACCAAACCTTGAAAATGTTTTCATTACTCAGTTTTCAGTAAGGAGGTAATGTATTCATACTGGAAATATAGAGTTACAAGTAGAATGGTCTAATATTGATCGTTAAATTAATATAATTATTCTAACTTATGAAACGAATAAAAAAGAAAAGTGTGCAAAGTATTTGCAAAAATGACTGAAATCTGGACAAGTTTGGTCATGGAAACAAATGTGGAACCATCATTTTTCGTCCTCACATTTTCTGATATTACTGGCACTTTTTAAACTTTTGCCATAAATCAGTAACTTGGATCAGCACATGATGCAAAGACATTTGCTGTAGGATCAGAGGATAAATCCTCTATGGCATATCAGAAGTTTGAAAGTTGTCAACAATATTAATACGCGTGTCAGGGTGGTCATATGGTGCCTGTATTTCCACTGCTTCAGTGATCTGTGGGAGAGGCAGAGTAATGGCCCTTTCCAACTCGCTTGACTTCTATAAAGATGTCCTTTTAATGGGGACATATGCCATTTTCCAATTTATTACCTAGTCTGCATAGAAAATGTCAAGGATGAATATGCAGAGAGTACATCCGAAGTCATACAGTATTACCCACTTAAATTGAATGATTTTTAATTGACCAGCCTGGTCCTCGTGCATAGAACAGAAAATAGAGCAGAATTAAAACTGGAGTGTGTGGACAGTTTGTACTTGTTTCTAACTTACTCTACTTTCTAACCTACATGTATCATATACAGTATTTAAAACTCAAATGTGGCTTCCCAACAATTCAGGATTTTTTACTGCATACCTATCCCTCTCACTTTCTCTCCTTGGCTAATTCTCATTTAACAGTGGATTTTGCCATAGAAACTTAGAGTACACTTTCAGTAAGAGAGAGAGAGAGAGAGAGAGAGAGAGAGAGAGAGAGAGTACCTTGAACAGCCGGGGGTTCCATGCCACGCTTAAGGGTACAACAGTTAAAGCCACTAACCAAAATGTTTAATGACTACTGCACTATTTAATTCGTTTGATTCAGTTTTATTAAAAACTCATGAACCAAACACTGCTTTTATATGTATTTTCTTTTCTTTCTAGTAAATCAGTGTCTGAATCTACTTGAGGATCACAACAACATTCCAATATTGAGTTTGATGCTATAGTTCTAACCCAGGGCATAAAAGGGAAAGTAAAAGGAGGGGGGATGCATACAAATAGGGTACAGATGAGTTGAGTTGTGCACAGTAATCTTGTATGGATGCATTTTTTAGTTGTTTATAGTTTCAGTGGAACAAATGATAAATCCACTCCAGCACAGTAATTGACAAGATCATGAGCTTATGTTATTCATGAAAACAATCTAATATCAGATAGGTTAGAGGATAAATTCAAATATTTCAAAGGGAATGGAGAAAAGGGGGAGCAGATTATGACTCATACGCCTCCACTTTGTTGGAAAACACTGGAGGGGACAGATAATTAAAATCTATCAGCATCTCTCACAAATGATTTCAGTCTGACAGTAAAGCTGCTTTTTAATATA